TTTTTCTCTAAAATTATTGAAATATGCAAAATTTGCATTTTTAATTTTCAATTTTTAAACTCAACATTGTATATTTGTATAGCTCGGATTTCTAGCTTGGTCTGCTATAATTCGACACCATACAGACAATATGCAACTCCCGTAACTTCCGAACCCTAATAATGACCAAAAAAATTTTTTTTTCGGTATATAATTTATAATACCTACTTTAAGAACATAAAATTGGTAGCATTTCAAATTAGTTTGTAGTATAATAATAATAGTTAAACATTGAAAAACAAGAAGTTCTAAATTTGAGTTTGGAAGTGTTAAAAACCCATGATTTTTAGGCACTTTTTTAACATCAATTATTCTAGTTACATAAAATGTATATAGTAATTGCAACTAATATAGAGAAAGCATTATTAGAAATTCCTCTACACAGTACTCTATGTTTATAAATATAAATATTATATGTTATACGAATTTAGAGGCGTTTCATGATCGTGGGACCAGGTCAAAACGCAACAACTTTTTGAGTACGGTTTAGGTCGTAGATATTAGACATGTCATTTAGACATCTCCGACTGGCCGTATAGAGAGTGTTTGGTACATTAATAGTGATGATGAATTAATGGTTTAAACAACCATAAAAATCAAAAAATCAGAATTAGACTTTGGATTATAATATTACGTCTTTCTTACCGACTTCTTTCGTTCCATTCAAATCATAGGTGTGCGCACAGGGGCATCAGGGGCAGCATATGCTGCCCCTGGACTTTCTTTGGAGCGACTGCGGCCGGCAAATATTGAATAATGGGCCTCGGTAAAATTATATTTCCACAAATGATGACTATTGTAGATAAAAAAATTATAAAATTTTATTTTTTTTATTAAAGTATAGATAAATATTTTATGGTTATAGAATTTACCAGTATAAAACTAATAGACCTGCAGTAAACCTTTACATTTTTTTAATTCGAACCATTAAAGTACCTTAATTTTTGCAGCCAGTCGCTAAGGTTAGGTTAGGTGAAAAATTGAAATGGTTTATTAGTCGTATTGTAGTATGTGGCCGTTTAATCGTGCAACTCATTTCGGGACGTCATAAAAACCGGATTTGGGGCTCATAATTTTAGTCTTTATATATACGATTAAACATACAGGTTAAAGATGACCAATGATATAATTTATTTGTCAAGACGGCCAAACTGACTTGCCAAAACAGTTATAACCTACAGACTGGCGGTATTTTGAGGAAAACTCAAAAATCCAAAACGAACTTCTAGCAAGGGTGTAAGTCGTATTACCTTTTTTTTTAATGTTCTATAGTTTGACGGTCTCCATATCACAATTCTTTGTGTAATCAATATATCTTAAATCGTGTTTATGACACATACCACAGTCTAAAAATATATTCTTATCAGTCTTATTGTGGAGGTATCGCGACTACCTCCAACTACGAAGTTGACCAGGAGAGTAAATATAACGCAAATAATAGCAAAAATGTTAATATATTATGTTATAATTGAAAAGAGAAATAACACAAGTCGGTGCCCATAGCATTGCTCGTTATTTCGGACTCGCAGTCAGCTATGTAAAACTGATCACGAGAAGCCCAAGCGAATCGCTTGTTCGGTAATCGCTTAAACGACGGTGTAGGTTACTAAACTCAGTGTACGAGCATGGCGTCGGTCACCAAAAGTCATGTACGTGTTTGAGAACAGTGCCGCCGATGGCAGATAAGTATTAGTGCCTACTAGACTCTAAGGTACTAGTCATTTAATTCAATCTGTTCTGTGCTAACGAATGTGATTTGATTTTTGATTTTTATTTTATGATAACGGCATATTGAGAAGCCATCGTGATACGTTTTAAAATTACGCAGCGCGGCGTTTAGTACCATAGTCACCGCGTCACGACAGCTGCTAGTGATACCAACTATAAAAAGGAGTGTGAGTACTGTAATGTTGGTGGTTGTTGACTACATTGTCTACGTGGCACATTACAGCGATGGACATCGCTATAACAGATAAACGAATAAACTTAAAACATTGAAAATATTACCACGGATTGTTTAAGGCGTCATAGTACAATAATTGTGAAGCTCTAGTATTCGGAATTAATGTGTAACCGGTTTTAATTTTAGTATCATTATTATTATTTTTTATCAGTGCAATAAAACACGTTTTACGAACGAAAAAAAAGCGTTCCAAATTTTATTTGTGTGTCTATAAAACTACGTTTTGGAAAATTAGTAGGTAAGTGTACACTATTTTATGCAAAATTGATCAATGGAAACCCGTCGGTAAATAATCAAAACGATTTTGGTATATATATATTGTGTGTGAGTGTGTGTTTTCTGGTCGAAGTAGTAATCCAAGGACGGGAAAAAGAACAGAAAAATAAATAAACAAAAACAAAAGATCCACACTGTGTTTGCCCCAAATCCGCTGCATTCGAGGTAAATGGCTGCCACCCCAATGTCGTTTCCTTGATGTATAACCCTTTTATGTACACACTTTTTCGTTTTCTAATGTAAAGACCAAATGTGCAAACCGAATTTATTAGAACCACTTTATACGTGTATAAGTGCGGATCCATTTCATTGCGTCGCGCATACTGCACTATCTGTTATAAAAGTTACATTATAAAAACGAATATATATAATATATATAATTATATTTATGTATAGCGACAATAAGGATGTTAAGTGCAATACTATAGTTGAAACGTGTGTACGTGTCCATGGTACAGAAAAATAAAAATATCATAATTTTTTCTTACTGTTTCAGACTTGCTTGTGGATTTTTAAAATATATATTTCTACTGTAATAAATATATATATTTATGTTACACATAATGTCTTTGAATATAACAACGACATTTTACACTGTACGTATCATATGTGTGTGTGTGTATAATATATATAATATATATATATATATTGTATTAGAATAAACACAAACTAATAGTCGTTTTATCGTTATTTTTTTATTCAAAATAAATTGAAACATTAACATTAGACAAACTATTGACGAAAAAAATTCGGATAAAATTTTTTTGTAATGAAAATGAAACAGCCTATTTGGGAATCCATAAGAAGAAATTGGATGTTGTATAGTTATGAAAAAATCACTATAAATCAATAAAAAACGGAAAAAAAATTTTAAATTGCACTAAGAATAGATTTGTTTTCCCATTGAACCAAAAAAAATGCAATATTTATTCTATTGTTGTAGCAATGTATCTAAACTTAAGTTTTTAAATACAATTTTTTATCAAATAAAAAGAGGTTAAAAATAAAAATAATTATTTATAAACTAATGCATGATAATATTCAACTACTTTGACTGTGAATAAAAAAATAAATATTAATAAATGTCAAGCATAATATAATTATTTCCTCATGACCAGAGTGCAATACTGCAAAATGTGTACCTAGTAGGAATTTGAATTCTTTAAATTACAATCATACATTCTAGAAAAAAGATTAATTTAGAGTATTATTATTAATTATTATCTTGAAAAACACCAAATGCATATTATGTAATAAATTATGCATATTTTATTTATTAAAAGCATATACCTACCTAGTTTTACTGGTGTGCAAATTGAATATGTATAATATGTTTTAATGAATAAAACAAAGCTTACTAGCTTTAATCCCAGGAGGATAGTATTGATATTATTAAACTTATAGTAAAACTGAATATGGTGTTTGTTTGACTAGCATTTGTAATGTAGGACGGTACCTTTTTAACATAATATAGGGCTATACAAATAATAGGTATTATGTAGGTATGATATATTTTGTTGATAATTAATGACTTCCATCTATTTTGAAAGAATTACACTTTCTGCAAATGATTTTTAACAGAAAACTACACTTTTAAATCAGTCATTTTTTAGAAAAATCTACCAATTAAAATGATTTATATTTTTTTAATGGGTATGTACTATATTACATAATAATTGTGACAAAGTAATAAAATAAAATATAACAATTAAAAGCGTTATAATTGTTATACAATTTAACAAAAAAAGAAACAAATTATTTCAAATACATTTATGTAAAAAAAAATTAAAACTACATCAAAGATAAAGTACCATTTTTTATACATAATTGTATATTAAATTAATATATTGTTCATTCTATTGTGAGCAATAAGCATAAACTGAGTTAGCACACATCAATGAATTTTTACACTCGAATTACGTACATAGTAGTTCCTCTAAAGTACATAAAATTTCGAAAAATGGGTGTATTCTATGTAACGACCTAAGATATTTGTAATTGTATCATTATTTTTATAGAATTAATGCAAGTTGCAGGTAAACAATACTAGTATACAAACAATTAAAATAAATATATATGATTTATTTTTATTTGTAATTATTTGTATCCTGATTTCATGTAGGTAGTACACAACATATCATTTTTTAATGCTATCAATTAGTTACTCATAGACTACTGTAAATTGTTCGTTTAGTTTAATTGAAAATTGCCCATTGGTTTCAAATATAAAAGCTATATTATGTTAATGTATCATATGTTATTCGTGTGTGTGTGTGTGTGTGTGGCTGTCTTCTTAAATCAAGTATGATTAAAAAATAGATCAGTTTTAAACCTACAGTTGTTAATAAGTATTCTATAGATTTCCATTAATTAATATTTAACATACATTTTTATTATAAATAAAGTTTTTACAAATATAAATTGATATATTTGGATTGACTTATTGAAGTATGATGTAGTATTAAATTTAAATTTAATAAGTATATGGTTTTTTGAAAAATCTATTGATTTTATGTATTAAATTTAATTTGTTTTAAAATTTTATAGTTGTTTAAAATACTTGGTTTTGCAAGACTCCAACTCATTGAAATACTTTTGAAACAGTGTTTAACGACAAATAAAAAAAATCTTTGCCTTCTATGAACTTGAATATGAAAATTAATGTATAGATTCTTTTTAAAATATCAGCTCTTAATTATTGTATTCATCACTTTAAACAGAAATGGAAAAAACACCAAGACATATGAAACTTATTACTATTGAAACTGAAGAAGATAAATTACTTAGAAAAGAATTTAAAAAAGAAGAAAAGGCTTACCAAAAAATAAATCGCCTGCAGAATTTAGATTCAGATGATGAGATTTTAAAAATGGTTTCAAAAACGTAAGTGATATAAACAGGTTTAATCTTCTTTAATTGTAAAATAAAATGTAAAATTATGGTTACTGTATTAAAGGACAAGTGCAACAAACTTTCCTGAATTTATTGATCCTAAAAATAGAAAAGCACCTGCAGCTCAGAAATATCCCCATGTATATGATATGAATTTAGAATCAAAAGTATCAAGTTGTAAGTTTTTTTGTAATTATAGATTCAATTTTATGTTTTTACAAAACAATATGTTATTTACCAAATAGGTTTCATAGATGAAGAACCATGTGTTATCCCTGCAGGAGCCAAAAAAACAGCTTTTAAAACACACACTGAAGTTTATATCCCAGTTGCAAATATGCCACAAGAATTGACTGTTGGAAAAGAATTGATTTTCATTAAAAATCTTGATGAAGTTATTTGATTGTTTTCTAGGCATTTGATATTATAACTAATATTCATTTTTATGTTTAAAGGTTGGACAGAAAGCATTTCATGGAATTACTAATCTTAATAGAATACAATCAATAATTTTTGATGCAGCATATAACACCAATGAAAATTTACTAATATGTGCCCCAACTGGAGCTGGAAAAACTAATGTTGCTTTGTTAACCATAATCCATCAAATTAAACAACACATTAGGAATAATGAAATAAATAAAAATGAATTTAAGGTATACATTTTCAACCTTGTCATCTCATCCATTCTCACTATTTAAAATTGTATTTCAGATTGTATATGTAGTTCCTATGAAAGCTCTCGCAGCTGAAATGACTGAAAATTTTTCTAAACGCCTTTCTAGCCTAGAAATTTCTGTTCGCGAATATACTGGTGACATGTCACTTACTAAAACTGAAATTCTCAACACTCAAATATTAGTTACAACTCCTGAAAAGTGGGATGTAACTACCCGTAAAGGAACTGGTGAGGCATTTTTATTAGATACATAGATTTATATTAAATTCTCATTTGCTTATTTTTTTAGGAGATATTGCATTAACAAGTTTAGTTAAGCTATTAATTATAGACGAAGTACATTTACTGCATGGTGATCGTGGTCCAGTCCTTGAAGCTCTTGTAGCACGCACTTTAAGACAAGTCAAGTCTTCCCGAAGCATGATTCGAATTGTTGGATTATCTGCTACATTACCAAACTATAAAGACGTAGCATGTTTCTTAAAAGTCAATTTTTATAAAGGACTATTTTATTTCGATGATCGATTTCGACCGGTGCCATTAGTTCAAACATTTGTTGGGGTTCGTGGTAGCGGGAAAACATTATGTCATGAAATGGATAAAGTTTGTTATGATAAAGTGTATGATATGGTGCAAAAAGAACATCAGGTATGCCAATTGGGTAGTATTGATTAATAAATATTAATTTAATTTGTATTTATTGTGTATAAAGGTTATGGTGTTTGTTCATGCTCGTAATGCTACCATAAAGACAGCTAATGTTTTTAGAGAATTTTCAATTCACAGAAATCACCAGACTGCATTCCTACCCCAAGACTCTAACACAATAGGTATAGCTAAAAAGGCTTTTGAGAGTTGTCATTCAAAAGAATTAAGTAAATTATTTAACAGTGGATTTTCTGTTCATCATGCTGGTCTTTTGAGATCTGACAGGTAAATAATTTATTATTTTACATGTTTATCGCATAGGTCTATGCAGCTTTATCAGAATGAAAAATGTGGATAACATGAACAACTGAATGTACATAAAAAGGTTTATCTTGCCTTTTTAAGAATATTCTGAAAACATTTAACTATTTTTAAAAAATAACCATTTACTTATTTTTCTTTTATTATTTTTTATTAATTTTCTCAGTAGAATAATTTATAAAACTGTACATACTTAAATATTTTACATTTTTTTGGTGTATAATTGCATCAGATCTATATGTTATTAATATGTACAAGTTATACAAGGCTAGACTAATCATAATATCGTTATTATTGCTTATGTATATTACAGAGACCTAGTAGAAAAGTACTTTGCCGAAGGTGCTATCAAAGTATTGGTATGCACAGCAACTTTAGCATGGGGAGTAAATCTTCCAGCTCATGCAGTTATAATTAAGGTAAGTAATATATTTTAATAAACCTATTACATTTTCATTATTATTTTTTAAGATAATACAATATTATAAGATTTTAATTGATTTTAGTGTTAGAAATATAATATCATAGTTGATTATAAATAGTAAATACTATAATATTTGGTTTAATGTTCTTAAATAATTTATAGGGGACAGATATACGTGACTCAAAACAGAGTAAATTCATAGATCTGGGTATTCTTGATGTTTTACAAATATTCGGTCGTGCTGGAAGACCTCAATTTGATTCTTCTGGGCATGGAATGATTATTACCTCACATTCCAAACTCCCAAAATACTTATCGTTACTTACCAACCCAATACCAATTGAAAGTTGTTTTGTAAAACATCTTGCTAATAATTTGAATGCTGAGGTATACATTATCAAATAATAAGTTCTAGCTATGTTTCCATTAACAAATATTTTGAGAATAGCATTGGATCTAATACATTTTTTTTTTTCATTTGTAGGTTGTATTAAGGACAATATCGAATGTCGAGGAAGCTGTGATGTGGCTTAGTTATACTTATTTATTTGTCAGAATGCTTATAAATCCTCAAGTCTATGGCATATCGCTTGAAGAACTTGAAGTATATACCGTTTAGTATTATTTGTATGTAAATTTTAATAATTTATTTTATTGTTGTTACTTACAGTTAGACCCAATGTTGGTTGACAAAAGAAAAGAATTGATTATCAGTGCAGCAACGGCTCTAGATAGGGCACAAATGTTACGTTACAATGAAAGAACTGGAAATCTCTCGTTTACAGGTTCATTACTTATTTCAATTGTTTACTAAGAATGTTTTTATGTTTAAACTATAATTATTTCATTTTACAGATACCGGTCGCACAGCTAGTCATTTTTATATTACCTATGACAGTGTTGAAATATTTAATAAATGTCTAAAGCCTTCTATGAATGGGTCAGAAATATTTCAAATGATTTCTGATGCAAAAGAATTTGATCAGATACGGGTACATTATAATGAATATATTATATTATATATACATACTAAATTGTTTTAATGAATATTAATATTAACCTTAATTATATTTCAAAGGATCGTGATTTTCGTGATAATGAATTTCATGAGTTACATGCATTACATCGTAAATATTGTCGAGTTGAAATTAAACTCGACAATCCAAGTATGTTCACGTTTTTAGAACGTAAAGTTAATGTACTTTTACAAACATATATTGGACGTGCTACAACTACATCTCCTCCATTAATATCGGACCTGTTGTATATCTCACAAGTAAATCTAATGTTAATATTAATAATGATTTTTTTTGTTGTCTCTTAACAAAAGTATGCATATATAATTTGTTTTCAATAGAATGTGACAAGAATTGCACGGGCATTATTCGACATGGCTTTGCATCGCAATTACGCTAAGGTGTCATCTATATTATTAGAACTTTGTAAAATGTGTGAAATGACTCAATGGTCATTTGAATCTGGATTACGGCAATTTCCTGATGTTCTTTCTCCTGAAATAATACATACAATTGAGGAAAATAAAATACCATATACCAACATTATAGAAATGGGTGCAAAAGAATTAGGTATTTTACTAGGAAATCAAAATGAAGTTGCTGCTGTTAAAAAGTGTTCTATGGAGATTCCATATATTGAACCTTCTTCTAGTATTCAATCTATTACTAGAACTATTTTAAAGATGAATGTGGAACTATTTCCAAATTTTGAGTATGTAACTTACATGATAAGTTTAATAAAATTGTGTTTTTATATCCTATTTCTATAAATTAAATTTTTTTATAATTCAGATGGAATGATGAGTTTCATGGCTTAACAGCAGTTGCGTTTTGGATTTGGCTTGAAGATCTGGAAAAAATTTTCCGTTGGAAACGTGTTCTTATTACCAAAAATCAGGTATTGAAAAATATATTATTATTTCCATTCATTTCTTGTGCATTGTCTTAAGATTATGTGTATATTTTTAAGGTTATTAGAAAAGAAACATATAAGTTCATGTTTAAAATACCTTTAGTTGAACCATTACCATCACAACTATGTTGCACTTCAGACCGATGGTTAGATTCAACTTCCATTCTACCATTAACTTTCCCACATCATTTAATACCACATTGTGATGCTTCAATGACAGGTATATAAATCAACAATCTTTTAGTACCTAAGTTTTTTTAACATAAAAAAAATTGTGTTTTAGATGTATTGGAACAGAAATTTGAATGAATTTAATTAGTGCGATAAATACCTGGATTGAAATTTATGAGTGAGATATCTAATTAATAAGTTATACTGCAAGAACCATATTTCTATTTTAAAATAGCAACCGAACATTTTACATAAACAACCAGAATGTTTATCATCATTATTGAAATACTTTAATGAGCAAAATATAAAATCAAAATAGCCAACTATTAACGCCCCAATAAAGAGCTGTGTGTATATTTACTGTAAGGAAATCATCATCTTGTGAGCTTTTAATTTTATCATAATATATGAATAAATGTGTACATACAATTTATTTTGTATCATATACTGTGCAGCGAACACATAAACGGAAACATTGTCTCTAGTTTCTACACAAAATAGTATTATGTTACCATGAAATATGTATTTATCTTGTACTATAGTTTAACTTGTATATTTTAATTGTTAACAATCCCTAGCTGTTGCTAATATTCGTTTTTTTAATGAATTATATGTTTTATTTTAAAGGACTACACTTTGGGAAAAGGAACACGTTGTTCCATTAAAAATTGCTTTAACAGGCGTTCAAAGTATCATCTTAGTCTCTTTACCTATCCTAGTGATTACGTATTGAGAAAAACGAGAATAGAAAAATATGGATTAGAAGTTGCATTTGCTGAAGAAGTAAAAATGTCTGAAAGAGTATGTTGTATTCATTTTGACGATTGTTTCAAGAATCTTGAAAAAAAGAACAGATTAATACCAGGTGCTGTTCCATCATTGTTTTTAGGCAGTGGTAAGAAAACAATGAATGATTTTTTATTTTATTTTGTATTTATTTTTTAATTAATAATTATTAATATTTAGGATTTCATTATTATAGTTTAGGAAAGTACAGTGTTTTGTTTTGTTTAAAATGTAAAAATCTTTTAACTTTTTCATTTAAAAAGAAAAAAATGAACAATATTATTAACTTCTTATGCTTTAATATAAGAAAAAGAGATTTCATTAATAAATTTGAGTACAACAATTTTTATACCACAGATTTTTAATTATATTATTGCTAAACTAAATGATGAATATGATGATTACTAATTTTAATTTGATACTATATTTTATCATCTGATATTAAAATCATCAAATACCTCTACCTTTATTACGATTGATAACAAATTGCACTGAAACTACAGTCTTGTCTATTATCTCATAAGTCAAATTTTATATTTTACTCTTGTTAACTTCCCATTGAGTTAACACTCTTATTTTGGATTATGAATAAAATATAATAATTAATATATAAATTATAAATTCATATTTTGTTTCATTAGTTTAGAAAAGTTTTATTCTTAAGTAATGGACCTATGTCCTAAACTGTTTGGTATAAATTACAATAATTAAATACTGCATGACGTGTCTATTTTATATGATATATCTTTAAAAACAATATCTTTTATTACATAAAATAGTTATTTTACGTATAAAGAATTTTTTTTTCATGTTTAAATTTCATTAATGATTAATATTGATTAAATTTTTACAAAAGATATCAGTTGCGGCTTATGGATGTATTTTTGTAAAATAAGTATACATCTGTGTTATTAATACATTATTTTAAAACAAAGAAAAAAACTATTTAATTTTGATAATTTTTATAAAATGTAACCAAAAAAAAGTATATAGAACTATACACTCCTAAGCAAATCGCATTAATTCCTTCAAATTTAAAATATGTCAAAACTTACTAATGGATTGAAATGGTACATTTTGGCACATTCAATAAGCTTAGACATTAAATTGATAAAGGAATACACTATGGGAGTCACACTACAAACGTTTACAAAAGAAATACTAATAACTAATTAAAATTGTATTTTTAAGTTCCTTTTATTGAATATGTATAATTGTTTTGGGTCTTTAGCCGCCTCGTACCGGGTTCATAACTTAATAAAAAAATTATGAAAATAAATATTAGTTTGATTTCTAAAATATGACTTATGATTTTAAAGGATATAATAAAAGTAAGAAATATTCCATCAACAAGTTTTATAGATAATAATGGGTCTGTTCATGTAAATAAGCCATCGTGTTCGTCTTAAAAATTATGTTATACATATGAACAATGGAGAAATAATTTGCTTGTTGGTTTACATTGATTTGATTGCTCTTAAAACCAATGTTTAAAGTATAATTAATATTATATTTAATTTAAAAGAACAATAAATTTTTACTTTTTTTCTTTTTTTATTTTATCAGCTTTAGAGCTTATTAAAGACCAATAACTGCAAAACAAACCTTCAATTTCTTTCTATCTAGAGCTACTCCTGGGTTATCTTTTGCCTTGCAATAAAAAATAATTTTTTTTTGTCCAAGTATCAAATTTGTTACCAAACTTAATAAAAAAAAATTGTACCTACAATTAAGTAACAGTTTTTTGAAAGTGTAATTGTATACTATTGTAAATGGTATTAGCCTTAGTTCTTTTAGATTAATGTTATGTTGTTTTAGTATTACATTATATTGATATATACATAAATGAAAATTTTATTTTGTTTTATTAATTTAGGATTTTGAACCTTATTACTTTGTATCAGGATGCATAACTAATCACGATGAAGAAGTTAACAAAGTCACCCTTTTCACACCACCAATGGTAACTTTTATAATTATTAAGGCAGAGGACTTGTAGCTCTAAAAAATCACCAAATATGCACTAAAATGTACAAAATATCCATATTAAAATGCATTAAAAAATAATATTTTTTGTATGAGTATATTTTATTTGAATTTTGATGTCTGCGACCAACATCCCCATTGCCCGTATTGATAATATCTTATGCAGTGAACAATATATGTACATAAATACAATTAATAACCGAAAAATAAGTCTAATCGGCAATTCTCGAAAAGTGTTTCTAGGAAAAATATGTTTGTGGAAACAGTCAACAACCACATTAATATGATCAAAATGTTAAATAATTTTAAATTCAACATTATTTTGGTTGTATATAAAATATTTAAATTAAATAAAAACTTAAAAAATATTGATAAAATGATAAATTATTGAAAATATGCATCTTAACATGTGGAATTGAAGAAATATTCACTAAAACCAAAAAAAACTTGAAATATGCATTTATTTGCAAAATAAAATTTTAAAACTACCTTTGTTTCAGCAAAACGTATTTGTTTCTTACTCTTCTATTTTTGTGATCAAGCAAAACAAATATGCAAATGCTACAAGTCCTCTACCCTAATAATTATTAATAAATTCTGTTTTAAAACAATTTCTGATGTCAGTTTATTGAAGTTCTTGTTGCTCATTTTGTAGGAATGTGTAAATAAATGGAGTTCAAGTTTAGGTTTTTAGTTAACTGTAAACAGTATTCTGTGGTGTGAAAGACATTTCACCTCAAGACATACTTCATCCCGAATTACTGGTAAATGATAAAAATAAAATAGTAAAATCATTAGTACCTACTTGATTGTTTGCCAGACGCCAGAACCTACCAATGAATGACCAGTTATCAACAAAATAAATAAACAATGTTCCAGGTATGTAAAATATTCTTACTAAAATACATTTCAACTTGTGATTTATTCCAATATTAAAATCAACTACTGTATAAATTAATAATTTTTCAGGTTATACAGATGATACATCAAAATCAATTAATGACTTTTCTTCGTATGATTCATAGGTTCAGCAAAAATTCTTTTTATGAGTCATAATTTATGACTTATAATTCAATGTCCGTTGTGTTATTTTGAAAAATGTTCTGATATGAATAATGAAAATCTTACATCTTGAGACATATCTCTCACATGATGTCAGTAATTGAATTTATTATATTAATTTTCATTACCTATTTTTAAGTATATTTATTAGGCATATTTAGTATTTTATGTAAAAAAAAAACTATAATTGTATGTCATGTATTGTTCACAATTTTCAAAATAATTGTATTTTATAACTCACACTTATGTAATTTAATTGTATGAATAATAAATGTAAATTGGGCTCACGCCCGTTTTGTATGCTAAAAATAAAATAAAATAACAGTATCCACATTTTAATTGCTCAATGTCTTAATGTTAATATTTTTATTATTTTTATGTAATTTAGTTAAGACTGGTGTATCAAATAATATAAGATTTTACTTCTAACTAATGTAATTGTATTATATACACACATATATATTTCTTATTAATGTTTTTTTTCTTTAAATATTACAATATGTAATAAACTTTATTTTGAAAACTGTAATTATTGTAATTTGTTTCAAGCAGTACTAAACTGTTTTTTTTATTGTAGTGAGTATAATATACTAATAGTTATTATTTTGTTTTTTAAAGCAATTTATTTCCTGCTGGAATGCAAATGCGTATTTTACATAGGGCAAAGAGGGCATTTGCCCCGGCAACGATATTTGAAAATATTTCATAGGCGGCATTCATATACTAATTTTTCAAACATTTTTTTGCTGTTTTGTAATAAATCAATTTTTTCACCAGTTATTGAATATATTATACAATTTAATGTTCAAAGGTTTAAGTATTATAAGAAAAATATTTGTAATGATAATAAATCTTATTTACTTATACCCACGGACTAAGATATACAGGACTGGAAACGAATGAGCTAGCCCGCGACCGATCTGCCATCTATTGGCAACTATTATAAGCCTATAAATAATCCCTATGTTACTGTATGAAATAATGAAATATATAATAAACTTTAGACTTGTTATACACATCTTGTATCTAATTTTGTTTCTTGAATGTGTATAATATATTTTATGCTAAAAAACTTAATCTAAGATATATTATACTTTATTTGTATGTATATGTTATTAAATTAAGTAAAGAATAGGTACTGAGCAAGTATTGACCATACATAAAAGATTATTTTAGTCTATTCTGTGAATCCTATCTAAAATTCATCAGCTTTAAATATTATCAGTACTATTATATAATATATTTATTATTTTATGATACTTATATATATGTTGTACTTTTTTATTACCAATATTTTAATAGTACGTTACATTTATTTATTATAAAAGATAAATTACCAAAATGCATGCCTAGGCGGTGTAGTGTAGATCAATGCCATATTTTGAAAAACAAAATTAAATGTACATTGTTCAAAGCACCAAAAGAAGTTAATATTTTAACAGCATGGAACGAAGCTGTTCCTAAAGCTAATGGTAAAAGTTCCATTGCTCATTATGTTTGTCAAAATAATTTTTCAGCTGCAGATTTAATAAGTGTATATAACAACTATCCAGGAGATTTAAATGTGTGTTAAATTTTATATTTATGCAATTTATGATCTATTTTACAATCAAGTTACTATTAATTGTAGTTAGTAAGTAACATAGCAATTTGTAGTGTTGTAAAGATAATTTTTAAAAGTATTTAAAATCTAACTCAAACTACTCAAATATTTTTCATACATAATATATACCTACTATTAAACCAAGAGAAGTATTTAAGTATTAAAAACACTACAAAGTGCAAGTGAATCGATACTACCAAAATAAATTATGAACTACTCTTATAATATAATGAATTACAGACTAATGAAATTGGTCAACATAAAATATGTTCTTTAAAAAAAGGTGCCATTCCATCAATTTTTGAGAATTTGTTTGAATGTCATTCACAAAATGAAATCTTTAATAATATTGAACAGGTGAAGAATTCTTCAAATAGATAGTAGGTAATTATTATTTTTACAAATATTTTATTAACTAGGTATGAATATATTTTAGTTGCTTCCGAATGACAAAGAACACAAACAAACTTGCAAGAGAGAGTTATTATGGAAAGATAATTCACCAAAACAGTTATCCAGTATTGTTGATGTGGTGAATAGTGTTTTTAGTTATTAAATTACCTATTAGCATTTACAGCCATTCTAACTTATTTGCTATATTTTATTTTATAGAAAGATACATATGTAGATCAGGATAACAATGAAAGTGCAGTACTCAATAATTTTTATGATGTATTTACTACCTATAAAAATATTCAGTTACCAGTTGGTTGGTCATCTTTTAGAAATGGGAAGGCTGTGACATTTTATTCAGCACAACATACAAACAATAATATTCAAAAACTTATAAGTGTCATTGATAAACAAATAACAATCACTTCAGAACTTGAAATCGGAATTTATGTTTTGAACAATTATGAAATAAAATATGATGACATTGGTATTGACACAAAATTAACATTTCCACTTATCATAAAAGATTTTGAAAAGTTAATTGAAACTTCAATAAAAAAGTGATATGCTATGGTGGTCCCAATGCATCAAATTTTCCTGGTAATGGTACCTACTTATTAAATGTATTTTGTAATTCATAAGAAAATTTAAAAAAAATCTATTCTATTTTTTGCCTTAGGTATAAGAGTTAAAACTGCATCATTAGGTTTCAACAATTTATGGCGTCTTATAGAATGTGCAATAATAATTAAATCTGGAAATAGGTGTACATTTTGTGAACGTTTATTTTCATTATTTAGAGGATATAAAAAAAAGAACTTTGGAAGCAAACATAGGACCCTTTCAAACTCCTAATAGTAGAGAAAAATATTTGAATATCTTAAAAGTAAAAAAGAAACTACTGAAATCAAATTCAAGGTAATTATAAGATTGTTTATTATTCTCATCAGGTCATTATGGGATTTTGAATGCATCTATAAAGATTAAATAAATACCTGATACACATAATAAACTAAATATATGTATATATAAATAAATAATTTATTGTATGTCAATATTTTATGAGTACTTATAAGCTATACCTTATAAAATTGTTTAGATTGCAGACAAGTATAAACAAATTAAATACTCAATTGAACAATATTCACAAAAGAACTAGAGAAATGAGTGACTTATTGAATTATAAAATAAATAAATAAGCAAGGAAAACACATCGCCTTTAGATCACTTTAATAGTTTATTTTTATTATAACATAATAAGACAACCGTAACTCGTAAGACACCACGGTCTACGTAACAAAAAAGTAACGAACAAATTACAACACGAAGTAGGTCCATCATAAAAAAAAATATAGAAACATAACCTCATAAAATAAAACGTTTTAGGAATTGTGTCTAACTTCAACATGACTCAGCTGTTAACAATGTTCTGAACAAGTTAAGTGAATCTCAAAAAACGATTATTAATGAAATAATTACTACAAGTAAGGTAGATAATCCCAAAAGTAGAAGGTATACAGAAGATTGGATTTTATTATGTGTTTTATTGAAAATCCGGTAAGAACTAAAATATATTATTATACCTACTTTTACTAATTATAAATATAATAAAATGTGACTTACATAATAATATATTCTTAGATCTTCATCTACCTACACCTTTTTGAGAAAGAAAGATATATTGCCATTACCGTGTACACGAACAGTTAGGAAATATCTTTCTCTTATAAAAACAAAATGTGGTTTTGATGAGAAATTTTTTCAACTCCTAAAAAAGAAGCTAGCAATGTTAAATCCACAATAGTGACATGGAATGCTTATCTACGATGAAATTATATGACGAGAGAGTATTGACGTAGATTCTAAATCGTTAACCTATATTGGATTAAAAGCTTTTGGGGAAGATATGGAAAACACTTGATTAAAAGCAAACCATGGCCTCGTCTTTATGTTTCAAAGTTTATGTACTAATTTTTCCCAACAAGCTTTTTGGATAGCTGTATTTGCTTCCAGAGGACCCGTGAAAGCCGAAAGATTTAATTGTTTGTTCCAATCAAAGACTAAGATATACTCTTTCAAATATCTTATTCAGTGGTTTACTGTGTCTTTTTTATTGTTGTATGTTAATAATTGATTGGTACATGTTTAGTTTGATTTAATTTGTAGTGATAATTAATTAATGTTTTACTTGTTTTCCTTTTATTTAGTGCTTATAATATTTGTCTTAGTTTATTACTGATAGATTTGTGTGTTTAGCCTATATTTTAATAATTTACAGTTATTATTGCCAATAGCTAAACAAACAAAAAAATGTTCTATTCTTCTAAGTTCTATTTACGTGGTTGTGTTCTGTATACATGTATGTGAGTTTTTAAATACATTTTTTTCAATTGTTTTTTTAATTAATCGTATTATTCTTTAGGTATGGTTCTTGCTCAGTTGGTAATAAAAGCTATTTCTATCCTTGAAAACTGGAGCAAAAATTGATGGTATTGTTTCTGATGGTGCCTCAACAAATAGGAAATTATGGGTAGAATTAGGAATATCTGGTTCAATGGACTGTGTGCAAAATTCTATTATTCATTCTTTAGATGATTCCAGACAAATATTCATGTTTTCGGATGCACCACATTTGATAAAGAATGTGAGAATCCGATTATTTAACAAAAAATCATTGGGAGTGAGTTGTTTTTAAAATTTTAAAAAGATTTGAATAATAATACGTAATTTTTTTTTAATAGATTTCTCCTCAAAAACCGTTTGTAAGGTGGAGTCATTTTATTGATGTATTTAAAAATGATAATAAAGGAAGTTCTACGGCTCCAACTAAAATTTGTCCTAAAATCACAAAAAAACATTTATTTGTAGATAACTTTTCAAAAATGAGTGTTAAATTAGCCACCTAAGTAATAACTAATAGTGACAAAAATATTTATGTAATTCAAATTTGAATATATTTAGTATTTATTTTTTAATTCATTTTAGGTTTTAAGCGATTCAATGGCCAAAGGCATTGAGTTTTATAAAGATCATGAGACGGTTGAGTCATTAAAAAACAGCAGTGAAACACAGAAATTTGTAGATATTTTTTATAGAACATTTTACGCACTGAATCGCAAGTATCCAGCTGAGGAAATACGAAATAACAGCCATGATTTTGATGTTTGTTTTAAATAAGATTGAATTTAAATATGTAAAATATTTACAATGATTATTATTTTAGGTTTTAGAAGAGACTTATGCTTGGCTCAATTCTTGGGAAAATTTTGTGAAGAATAAGCTTATATCAGAAGATGAATATCTCACAAAAAATACGTCTGATGGCTTGAGGGTTTCTATAAAATCTACCATAGAATTATCTAAATATTTGTTGAAAGATTGTGGTTATAATTATGTGTTGTCATCTAAAATGAATCAAGATCGATTGGAAGTAAGTGAACTTAAAATTAATTTAAACGTTCAAGTATAATTATTAGTATGTAGTACCTATTTTGTAATATAAAATGAATTTACTTGTATAGCAATTTTTTGGAATGTCGCGGCAAGCCACTGTTCCAAACGATCATCCTACGACCCCAACATTCTTACAAATACATAAAATGTTATCTATTTATTCAATATTAAAGCCTCCAAAAACAGGCAATTGCAAAGTTCTTGCAAAAAATACACCAAAAATAACAATAAATGAATTTAAAAGTATATTTGTCAATGATGACAAATTAGTTAAAGGGGATAAACTTTTAAAACTACAAGAAAATTTGGATATAATTGTAAAAGAAGGTAAATGGGTAACAGAAGACATTTTTGAAAGCGATATTCATAACTATTGCACTCCTAACAAAGCAGAAGTTACAGATTGTGTTATTTATTATATTAGTGTTTTTGTGTGTTGGCATATTATATTAAAACATACAGATTGTCATGTATGTATAAATGCAATTATAGGTAATCCAAAAAGGTATACATTTTTAATTAAATTATAACATAAGTTTATATTTTTAGGAAAACTTTACTCAAGTAAATCTGAAGCAGCTTTTACTAATTTGAAATCAAGAGGAAAACTGATTCATCCAAATTAACATTTTCATAATATTATAACAGCAATAGAAAATGCTTTCTCTAAGTATTACTGTATGCCCAGTGTATTTCAGGACACAATTGATGATTTTTTAGAAAATAATAACAATTTACTAACATTTCCATGTGATGAACATAAGACTGAAATACTCATGTTCATCGTCAGGTATTGCATAACAACAAGGATGAGACAGTTTTTAAACATGGGAAATAAAAATCAAAACAAAATGAATTTGAAGAAGAAAAAATCTGCTAAATTAGTCATTACTTGAGTACCTTATACATATAATATTTTTAATTCTTGTTTTTATAAATTTAATTATTGTTGTTATTTTTTTATGCATACCTACACAAATATCTGCACAGCATTTGAATTTCGAAGTAAGTGTAGGTACCTTTAGGTATGAACTTCAAAATAGAATATTAAATATTCACAACAATTATTGTTATTGCAAATCAAGTATTAACAGGTATGTCATACTATAGTTTTTAGTTATTACATCAATAAATTAAAACACTAAAATGCAAATATGTAAAAATAATATAATGTATTAACTCTAATATTGTGTGCTGCTTGTAAGATGATAGTTGTATTGAAATTTGCTCTCGATCTCATAAACTACTTGTCAATTAGTGTTGTATCAACAAGCTTTGTACATTAGTTCCATTGATAACGTCGTCGTTTCCAGTCCTGTATATCTTAGTCCGTGCTTATACCTATACGGCTGTACATAGATCTTATTCGAATAATTACAATATTAACAGGCATTTGCGGAAACACAGTCGAGACTCGACGGACGAGGATATTGCTGTACGCCTGTTCAGACGTACAGTTGTAGTAAATACTAAGTATAAATAATATGTATCAACACTCAACACTATTAACTACAAATAGTTGATAGTTTCTCCTCTAACTACCTCATCCTTACTAGGCATCACCTCAAGGATTCGACCTAAACTCTAAAGTAGTGGCGGTGCAAGGTTATCTTTTATAACCACCATGTCTCCAACCTTAACATTCTCTTGGCTTGACAACCAGCGACTCCTAGTCTGTAAGATGTTCAGATATTCCAACGACCATCTTCGCCAAAATGATTGAAAGGTTTGTTGAAGGAGCTTCCAACGTCGCTGTAAGTTGACAGGCTTTTCATTAAGTTCTTCCTCAGGAACTGACATCAATGGTTTACCGATTAGGAAATGACCTGGAGTTAAACAGTCCAAGTCCTCCGGATCTGGAGAGACAGGCGTTAACGGCCTGGAGTTCAGTGCAGCTTCAACCCGACACAGGATTGTAGAAAACTCCTCCAATGTCCAAGTCTGCGCCCCCAACGATCTTATCAGTAATGATTTGGTAGACTTTACCGCAGCTTCCCAAAGTCCTCCGAAGTGGGGAGCACTAGGGGGATTAAAGTTCCAGTGACACATCAGACGACTGAAACATTGATCCCTATTCGAGGGCGAGTTGATCAACTCTTTGAGTTTCTACGCAGCTCCAATAAAGTTTGTTCCACAATCAGAGTGGATGGATGTTGGAACACCTCGCCGGGCAACAAATCTATCAAGAGCAGCTAAAAAGGCATCCGTTGATAGGTCCAAAACAACCCCAAGATGGATAGCTTTTGTACTCATGCAAACAAATAATGCTATATAAACTTTGTATTCGCGAGCTTTGCGCAACTTGGTTTCCTTCATCACCAAAGGGCCCGCGTAGTCAATCCCCACTGCTGTGAATGCCCGGCAAGCTTGTGAACCCTTGACACAGGCAGATCTGCCATTTTAGGTTGAGGATTCACTGCACTTAGTTTCACACAAGTGATGCAAGACTTGATGACCTTGTGGACAACCCGTCGGACTCCCATGATCCAGAAGCGACCATTGACTAGTGATATCAGAAGTCTTGTTCGGGCGTGACAAGCACTCAAGTGCCAGTGGCGTACAATCAATGCAGATAAATGGGAATTTTTCGGCAGTAGGATTGGATGTTTGCGATCCCAAAAGCACATGGCATTCTGCAGCCGACCACCCACACGAATCACACCAAATTCATCAATAAAGGGGCTAAGTTTAGCATACACTCTGGAAGAGACTGATCTGTCACTTGACAATTCTTGGAGTAGGGAATTAAACATGAATTTCTGGGTGCATTTGACTACCACGTAGAAGGCTGCATCTAACTCTGAACGTGTCAAATGTCCGGAAACTGTTTCTTGCCGCCTACATTTGGCAATAAAACGACGACGTAGTCGCGCGATGACACGGATCATGACGCTGTATGAAGAAAACCGAGAGAACCGTTCTTCATTCTCTGATGGTGTCGTTATCACAAGAGACACTGAGCAGACTTCCTGTAGCTGGTCATCTGGCATCGTAGTTGGACGGAGATCCCAGTGATCAACTGGAAAGCTTAAAAACTCCGGTCCTGACCAATACAACTGGGCTTTTACTAGCTCTGCCGGATTCAATCCCCGTGACGCGCAATAAGCTGGGTTTTCATCAGATCTGACATGAGCCCACTTACAGGCTGGAAGCAACGTCTTAATATGATGAACTCTGTTGGATACAAAGACCTTCAAAGCCACATGAGGATTTAGTATCCAAGACAGGACTATGGTTGAATCTGACCAAGCATAAACTCCTGTAATATTTACATGTGCCGCGAGTATCCGGTGCATGCGCGATAACCATGACGCCAACAACACAGCTCCACATTACTCCAATCTGAGTATCGTGGATGTCTTGATTGGTGCCAGTTTGGTTTTTGCTCCAAGAAGATACACAGTCACCTTCTGAGACGAATCAGTCACCCGAAGGTACAACACTGCAGCATAACCTCTCTCAGAGGCATCACAAAACCCTCACAATAAGTACCGTACCCCGGTGGAACCACCAATGCAACGTGCAATATTGATCTCCGCCAGCCAACCTAACATATCCATGAATTGTTACCAATCCTGGGCGATGGCCGGAGGTAGCGGCTCATCCCAAGACGATTGAGTGGACCATAGACGCTGCATAATACACTTCGCATGAAAGATGACTGGTGACAGAAACCCTAACGGGTCAAAGATCCTCGCAATTACTGACAGCACTCCCCGCTTAGACGGAACTGATTTAATTGCCGTAATATCATAAACAAAATGATCAGCAGCTGGACGCCACTGCATACAGGAATGCCATCGCCACGGTCGAACTTGAGGGGATCACCTGCTAAGTCTTCCGGCGCAAGATCCGATTGCAACTGTGGTTCGTTGCTAGACCATTTCTTTAACATTGGTTCCGATCTGGACAATGTTTTAATTAAATCGGACTTCAAGGATAGTGCAGATTCCAATGTTGGTGCACCAACACAGATGTCGTCCATGTACGTCTGGAACTTTAAAGCCTTGCTAACTTCAGGGACTTCCTTACATTCAGTATCAGCTATATGACGAAGGACCCGAAGCGCAAGATAAGGAGCGCTGTTTACAACATAGGTAATGGAGTTCAATGTGTACTCCCGAATATGAAGTTGTGGGGAATCTCTCCAGAGTATATGTTGGTAACCACGGTATTTTTCCAATACCCAAATCTGGCGGTACATCTTGCAAATGTCAGTGGTAAATGCAACGTTGTGAACTCTAAAACCAGTTAAGACATCAATTATATCTTGTTGCAATTTTGGACCAACATGGAGACTCTCATTCAGCGAAGAACCAGATTGACAACGAGCCGAGGCGTCAAAGACAACCCTTAATTTCATATTCTCTTCTTCGACTTTATAAACAACATGATGTGGAATGTAGTAGTCTCCTGGTAAATCTGCTTCTGTCATGTACCCCAACGACTTATATTCTAGCATAAATTTTCTGCAGTTATCATACAGCACAGGATCTCGAGACAGTTTACGTTCCAATTGTAACAGACGGTTCACTGCAATTTGTCACATTCCAGGAAAGGCAGCAGGTTGACCATCACGGAACGGCAATGGGACCATGTACTGTCCTTTGCCATTTTTGCACATCTCTGCACAAAAGATTTCTTCACAATGGCCTTCTTGAGTGAACACAGGCGGAGCAGCTTCCGGTTCCTCAATACTCCAAAACTTCTCCAACAAAGACTCGATTGACGACGATATCTGAACAGGTAGAGCTCTAGGATTTGGAGCATTTATGTGTTGAAGTGGACCTACTATTGCCCAACCAAAAATGGAGTTGAATGCAGTTGGATATCCATGACCTAATGAAACAGCTTCATGAGACCAAACCATCGGATATATGTCTGCACCCAATAACATTTCAATCGGAGCGGGTACATCAAATAGCGGATCAGCTAATGATAAGTTACCACATTTTTCCCGAACCGTTGACGGTAGTCTTGAAGTAGGCATATCTGAGGTGATGGAGGACAACACCCAAGCTTTTACAGACATTGAGGGTTGGATTGAATCTCGGGGTTGAATATGTAGATCTACGATACCTAAAACACTTGGGACGGGTAACTCCGATAACCCAGTGACCGGTAATGTCCATTTCGACACTCGAAGACCTAGCCGACGACAGCAACTCGCAGATATAGCACTGATCTGTGAACCACCATCAATCAAGGCACGAACTGTTTGCAGACTTCCGGCTACATCTTTGACATGAAGTAATACGGTCGCTAGTACTACCGAAGGAAGCTGACTTCGATGTCTGGTAAACATTGACACTTTGGAATCCTTAGACAACGGATCAGAAGTAGAAGGTTTCTTGTGCAATAATAACCCATGGTGACGACGTTTACACACACTGCAGGACGACTTGCATTTATATGACATATGACCACTTTCGAAGCATTCCAAACATAGTCTGTGAGAGCACACAATTTGGTATCGCTCATCTATAGAAGCTTCCAGGAATTTTGCACAATCTTGCAATGCATGAGCTCCCCCACAGCAGTGACACTTTTCGGAAGGCGTAGACTTGGGTCTCTGGACCTTTGCTGAAGATATCAACGCTGTCTGGCTAGACGAGGGACGGTTACCTTGCTTAGCTGAACCTGAGTTTGACTTCTTGGTGCTACCACCAAACGGTTTCCCAGTACTTGAAGTACCACCAGCATTCTCCAGCACTCGCACTCTATTCTTTACAAACTCCAACACACTGTCAACAGAGGGATACTCAGCAGAATTTTCTGTTTCAAACAAGCGTCGAGTATGAGTTGGAAGAGATTTTGAAGCGATGGTGAACAATAAGAACGAACACAGGTCTGGCAGGTGCAATGATTCCAATATTGCTAGTCCTTCATCGAATACGCTTAAAAAACGTTTGAGATCCATCAGCGATTCTGAAGTGGACACTGGAGCAACCAAAAATCTCTCAATGATTGAGGAAGCCAGCTTTCTGGGTTTGTCGTAAGACTTTACCAATGTGTTCCAAGCTATCTGAAAGGTATCCTTCGTCACTGGAATCCCTTTGAGTACTTCACTTGAGTCCGCTTGAAGGCACCCAAGTAGGTAGTAAAATCTGGTACTATCTGAGTCAATATTCTTATTGCGAATTACTAAGTCCACAAAACGGTCCCGGAAATCTGGCCATGAGCGGAGATCACCATCAAATATTGGCAGAGGGATTTCCGGAAGGCGCATAGACACTTGTGACATGAAGGAAGCATCTGACGACGGAGAATCACTCACACGAGACAGAGGCTGTGTTTCTATGACATTAGCTGCCTGGGAGCATGGCTGAATTGCTAGTTGGTGTAACCGACTGATGATCTTCAGTACCGTTGGGCACAACCACAACGTCACTAATCTGTGTAACTGGTCGAGAGTCCTTTGATGACTTTAAAGTTTCCTGCTCATAATTATTGACAATAGTTTTGATCTCTGCCACCAATGCATAGGTAGCAGCATCCTAAGGAAAGGGGTTATCTCATTGAAACTTGAAAGTACAACCCCTAACATGTTCATGTATAATAGATATTGTGCTCGCAAGTGATGTCCTTTATTATATAAAATCAGGTACGCCTCTACGCTACATAATATGTAAATAATATGTTTAAAAAAATATATAATATATTTGACCTATGCCGGCTCACAAAGTATAATAATATATTGTTGGCTTATGCCAGCTCAACAAGAGTAACAATAATAACAAAAATGTTAGAGTAAAATAAATTGGCCTATGTTGGCTCACTATAATAATGTATATAAAAAAGGTACTATGCAATAATTTAATGTACAATTTAATGCGGCTCGTCAGCCGATTACCTGGGAACTGGTGTCTGTTAACTGGCGGCTTTGAACCAAACTCTACCATCCCGGGATGCCCACACTTGTACAATAAATGGAATGCAATATCAAATAAAATGTGTGACAGTCCCGAGACGTACGACCAACAAGCCACCAGTTCAGAAGATTAACTCAAAAAACAACGAACTACAACACAAATGACTTCACGTGGTTCTGCAAGTATGTCTTATCGGTCGCTCTGAATTGGGGAATAATATTAGCAATTTTATAAAATAATGATGACGATACTTACAAAAACCAATACATATACACGGAACGTTGAAATAATGAAAAGCACTTGAATGATGAGAAATTATGTTTATATGAAATAATAAAGGCAATATGGCCGCTGGCTGAGATTGTTTCTTACAAAGCTCGAATGGAAAAGCAAAAAAACGAAGAGAGCGAGGCGCCCGTGCGAGCCGGCTTTTATAACCTTTTCAGCCGAGTTCAATCACCACAGTGTCAACTCACACCAAAGTTCAATAAACCTGAACTTGGGCGACACTGTGAGAATGACTTGACTGAATTGGACACTGAACATTGAACATTTAAGAAAAAAAACACGGACACATAATTGAAATTGTTTAAAATAAAAAAACTGGAAAAACGGTCATTATCATGAGACTGCTAGTACCACACCGCACAGCTGGCGGGCACGACACTAATATATAATATTGTTTTGTTATTCTAAATCACCTACAATGATAACACAGATTAAATGAAACCTAAATTAATTAATCTGTGACGATAACATGAAACAAAAAACGGCATGAAGTGGCGCGAAATTCAAATTCACATACGTCGCGAACAGATATTAAGATAATAGATATGATAGATAATCTGCATAATCGCGGAAAACATCTTATGTAATATGATACCTACCGAGATTTATGTAATAGTATATGATGGTAGCTAATCTTGAATAAGTATAAAAATAATAATATGAATTATTAATAAAATAACAAAATTAAAATATTAATGAACTGGCATAATATCCGCTTGCTATTTGAATACCTACAAACTATTAGCAAATAAACAACCATATTTAAAAAAAATAATTATTGTACGCGTTACAATAGCACGCGCGGATGAAATGGAACTCTTCCCATTAGATATGAAAAGAAGGTTTATCACGAACACAAATTTTAGTATGAATTTATTATCTATAAGTTGAACCAAAGCCTTTTTTTCGTTACATGGACCTTTATATTCTTCCTCGTTCCTACTAGTTGTTGTATTAGTGTATTAATGAATAAATTGAAATATGTAGCAACAGAAATGTTAATATTTACGCATCAGGTTAAAAAAACAATTCCAAAAGAGCCATACAACACATAATAAGCTAAGTAACAACACAACAATAATTAACATCCCATCAAAAAAGGGGAGATAACAGTTAGCAATAAAATAACAATTTGTATAACTTTATGTAGGCATAGTCAGTAAGCATAATGTAACTAGATTAAAATTTAAAAGTAATAGCAATAATATTGATGGGACTACCAACATAAATTATTTTATAAAGTATACAAAAACACTTAAAAGGGAGCCAGTGGTGGTGATCGTGTGACTCGATTACCACCAGACACCAGACCTCATTAAATGTGCATGTGCTTATAATATTTGTTCGAACACGGACCATGTAGCGTCAGTCTCCTCGTAAGAGAAAGATATGTATTGATATAACACACTAAATAATAAGATAGGTAGTGCCCAGTGGCAGACCAATAAGGCATGACGGGCAAGAGCCACGGGCCCAGGGCCCCAGAAGGCCGGGGAGGGCCCTTCAAAAAATGTGGTGATTTAAAAAAAACAGATTACCGTTATAACAGAATTTTAGTTATTAATCAAACTAAGTTCTAGTAAAATTAAATCTCTTGAAAGTAAAATAAATGTACCTAATAACTAGGAAAATGACTGATACACGTAACACGCTTATAGATCGATTGCAGTGGTGTACACGCGTGGGGGGGGTGTAGGTATTCAACCCCCCCCCCCACCTTTAGTATTTTTTCAGTTTACGTAATTACGTAAAAATGTATAATAAAAATGATGACAATTTAAAAAAAAATTAATAGTATTAATAAAAATAAATACAAAATTAAATTAAGGGAATTTCAGTGTTACCGTCACAATCGAGTTTCGATTAAAAATGTACGGCGAGAAGACCGTCGTCACCGAAGTTATTATTTAATAATTATTATTATTAGATATGGGATATTCCAAATTATACTCCATTATATTATAACATTATATTTTAAACTGAAAAATAATTATTTACACAGGACAGATTAAATGGATTGACCATGTTGTCGGTATACCGTGATATAAATTTAACTCCTGAAGAAGTCATTGATGAGTTGGGACAAAAACCCAGGAAAATAGACATTGTTTTATAATGAAAATAAATATTAGTTAAACAACATATTATTTTGATTTATCAATGTATAATATATATGTATATAATTTTTTATATGCCCCCCGCCATTGAAAATAGCTGTGTACGCCACTGATCGATTATAGATTATATTTTTATGTGCAGCGTTTGCCCGCATACGCTCGGCGACTGTGATATTACTATATCAGTATAGATTTATAAATATAATAATTATTCTGGACCAGAAATAACAAGAAAACGCACTCTATATTTAGAGTATAAGTCTAGGATACCGTATTGACGTCTTAGAAGTCTGTCGATTTCTCGATTAATTATCATTTATCAATTATAATACGTAATAATATAATAATAATAATAATATAATATATATATATAATAATATATTATATACGGTAATTATACTGCCCGGCTGAAAATTGAAATACCCGTCGTTTTTCGATATTATTTTGTCATTAGTTATTCTGTTGTCAGTCATGTGTCGTCCTTCGTTGAATCAGATAATTAATATCGTGATCATGTCGAAAAAAGTACCTAGTGGCTGTGAAAAGCGTAAAAAAAATTGAAGAACAAGAAAAAGTATCAAAGCTGCCTAAAATAAGTGGTTATACCTATATATTATTTTTAAAAAATGATACATGTTATAATGTGTATTAAAAAATGACCATATTATTCATAATAGTATAATAAATATATTTTTAATTATTTATTACCTTTTATAGCAGAGGTGGATCTAGATATAAATTGTTTGAGTAAATGCATGCTCTTCATATTCCAAATTTGTAAGACGAAGGCCCAAGGGCCCGCTGGATTTTTTTGCTACGGGAAATCGAAGTTTTAGTTATTTCCACACAAGATGATACAAATACTATAACAATATGTATAACGAGTAATAACTCAAAATATGTCAATATGATTATAAAGGATAATAAATAATTATTAACTAATTGACAATGTGACACATCACTTACAACAGTACAATACCTAACCAACCTATTGCTGGCGTGTTACCCTGAACCATTATTTAATGTAACGTAAGACCTGACTGATGACACTCTCGGGTCGCTATAATAGTCCTGAATTGATTTATTGAATCTGTGTTCCGTGATCTCCGCAACCGTAGATTATATACGCTATAGGCCGGAAAGGCGACGGTATTGGACTGGTCCTGGGTTTGGAAAAATTGAGGAAAAACCAGTTTTCGAAAAATCGATTTTGGTTTTTAGGGTATACCTATGAGAAAATATATATATTTAAAGTCATGAACGTCGAACTATCGAAATACGTCGTAATAACTAGGCACAAAAGACAAAAATAAATAATTTCTCACAAAAATGTCAACAAACTACATTTCTATAGTAGCTTATATTTTAAATATTATAGCAAAATGTATATACAGACTAGTAGTGTATCTACTACATGTCTACAATTTACAAATTATATTATTATTACATGTATACCGTATAGATAGAATTACTGCTACTTCAATAACCATTAACCTATGACTATAATATTATAGTACTGGTAAGTGGAATGATTCTACATCAACAATTAGGTTACAACTGAAATATATTAAAATGACACGCCCTTTCTAATTTATAAACATGTACCTAACAGTTAACATTTTATTAATACTTGGAGTTGCGAATATTGAAGTGGGTGGCCCGCGTTTTCCACAAACATTCAGTGAAAATTGCATGTATCTAATGTAATTTTTTTAAGAGTTACACCAAAAACTACAATCGGTTTTCCGTTAAAATTCCAGTTTTTTGTTATTTTTTTTTTTTTGTTATTCCATGCACTTTTGAAAATTGCTGAGAATTTTAAATTTTTACTTCCTGAATTCACAAACTATAAATTTACTTTCACACAGGAAATCTTACTGAAGTTGAAAATCAAAGTATTATTTCGACTTCTTATTGTGTACACACACACACACACACAAAATCATTGTATGAAGTAATGAAACGAA